TCAGGTTCTACATGACAAAAAAAATGAGCTCTTTATCAAATCAATTACACTTCCTTCATTTCAGTTTTTGAAAACTCTTCAGAGTACCCTTAATATAAAAAAATAATTTAGACCTACTGTGGGCACTGTGTCGCGACACTTTATGTGCAGCAGAGGTGCGTTAATAGGGGCCTTGGCATGGATTTTAAAAATTTTCTTTGAAATATTCATAGACTTAGATAAAACTATTTGAGTTTATGTATATTGTTCAGTGGATTGCAAATATACAATAAATTTGTTTGTATGGCATCGGGTCTTGTGGTGACACATATCCCGAAGGAGTACGGCCACTAGCGTGGATCCGGTCTTAGCGAGCCGCAGGGCACGCGTTAACTGCCGCCATGGCGAGAACACAGTACTACTCAAGCTCGCAACATTTTATTGTCTGTATCAACACCGAAATTCAGTACAGCCTGTTGCAAAGGCACAGCAGGAAAGCAAGTGGGCTTATCCACACCACGGGCGAGAAGCACTACACAGGGTGCCATGGGCACATCTCCATGGTAAAAGTGATTCATGGAGACACCGGGACCAAGGCCCGGTTGCTCGAGCGAAGGCAAAGGCGCTCGTGTTGGCTTCGGAGGGAGACGGGTCGGCGTAGCTTGGCCACGCACTAGGACACCGTACCGCCCTTTGGCCAAGCGTATGCAAAGGGGCGACAAAAAGAGCGTTCGCCTCGGGCGCGAGGCGCCGTCAGCGAAGTCCGACGAGCCCCAAACAACATGCGTCGACGGACGGAAAAGGGAATGCGTGCTCACCGTAAGCTGTCCCGGAGAATCTGACTCACTCCCGACGCACGCGCGCGAAACCTCTCGGGAGATTTTGCGCGCGGCGCCACAGTTGACATTCGCTACCGGGTGAGAGGGGTTAAAATGCCAATACTCGCTCTCCCAGTGTGGCAGACAGCAGAGGAGGGGAGTCATGTCAGGACATAAGAACGGCAGAAAAGGCGGCAAAGCTCGCTCAAAGGCAGCGGGCTAGCCTCAATTCCCACAGTCTTTAGGATATACTTTTTGGTAGCAGTAGTTTGCCTAAACCGAGAGCTCAAAGTAAATCGCATCAAAATATTGGGAAATAAAAACTGTAGGCAAGAAAACAAGAATTAGTGATCTAAAGAAATGTTACATGATGAATGTGCCGTTATTTCAGAAGAAATTTCTCTATTCATGAGCTGCATAGCAGTGTTTCAAAGCATGATCGGTTTACCTGGAGGTCAATGGATGAATTTTCTGCAATAATAGGAAGACACTGCTTCAAAAATTTTCGAAAAGGTTTTCTTCAATTTTGACAAAATTTGCCCTCTTTATGTAATTTTGCGTGCTTATTTTAAGTTTGTGCGCTCATTTTAAGAGAGTTAGAAAGAAAATCAGCATATCACAGCAATCTTTGCGGAAAGCTGTACACAATTAAACCAAAATGGTCTGAACTCAGTTGAACAAAAGTCAATTTATTGAACAATCCTGAGTGAAATCTTCGTCCTTGTCTGTTTAGGAAACATCTTGCTCGCAAGAAAATAAATTTTAGTATTCTAAAAACAACATATAGTATTAAAACATAGCTGGATCTTGAATCAACATAACATGGGCATGTTCAAGTAGTACTTCGTCGGTCTTACCTAGAGATAGCCATCATCATCCCAACGCTTCTCTTCTTCTTCTTGGTGGATTTGGCCCAGGCAGACACTTTGAAATAAAATGTTCTGCCAACCACTTTCTACACACTTGTTACCCATGGGAGAATAAACATAGTGATGAAGGGCACCGTCACCGAGGCAAAGTTGAAGCTGGTGTCGCAAGCAGCTGTTGGGTGGGTTAGAGATGCCACTAAGGCGATCATGAAAGTCCGACTGTAGTAGTCTGCTTGCTGAAGTGAAGTGGAATTTAAGCTTGAAGACGGTTGGATTCGGTTTTGCGAGGCGAGCGACAGTTCTGAGGCAGGCTGGACATTAGAGCCATTCAAAGTTGATGTGGAAGATGTATTGTCAAGAGAGGCAAAAGTTGGCATCAGGCCAGCGCATTGGCATTATGATGATAAAGTCGTACTCTTGCAAGCACAGTATTCAGCGCCCTAGACGTCCTGATATATTCATCATGACAACAGTCAACACAGTGCACGATGGTTGGTGATGATGGTAAAGTGGTGACCGTAGAAGTACAAGCGGAATTTTCGTATTGACCAGACGATGGCCAGGCTGTTTTGCTCTGTGATCGCATAGTTCCGCTCAGCTGTCGACAGATTTGAGCAAGCGTAGAACACAACCTGCTCTTTTAAAGGCGGGATCACACTGCAGAAGGACTGCTGCAACGCCTTGTGTGCTTGCATTAATGTGGAGTAGAGTGGGGGCTGTTTCGTCAAAAGGCAGGCGTACTTTCAGACTGTCCAACGCGAACTTGCAGTCATTATACACTGCCAAAAAAAGCATCAGTGACTCATAACTTATATAGAAAAGCCACTATGGTAGAAAAGTTTTCTATAAGGCAACGAAAGTAGGACGCGAGACTATAAAGCTGCTGTTACGAACATGCTTTGACCTACCAACGGAAAAGCTTTCACTGGCTGTACTCAGAGCAAGACTATCCGGGAGAGTGCATCAGAACCCACTGTGCAGTGCTCTCTCCCTTGCTAGCATACCTCCCATAGTCACAGAGTGTTTCCATCAGAGACGCAGGACGCGTTGGAACTACGGAGGTGCACCCTCCTTTTTGGAGTGGTTATGAAAGGCAGGTGAATCGTCGGGAGCTGCTTTTTCATCTAAATTTGTACTTGCACCAAGTTTTTTTTCTTTTTTTTTCTCTTTTGCTCTGGTTGCCTTTCGTTCTTTCTCTGCCTAGATGTTCCCACCCAGTCCGCTAGCCTTCGCGTCATGCGACCCAAGAGGGGGTCTCTCGTAACAATAAGTAGCGTCTTTTGGTTGGATGTTCGAAGAAACTGTAGTACAGCTTTGATCTTGTCCATGCCGACCAGACTCGGACAAGATTACAGTGCAATTTTAACACCCACATTCTCTGCGTCGTGAGGGGTGAAACTTTAAAAGGAAACTGGTGCTGTGTTTGTTGATCCATCATGGAAATGAAGGGAAGTACAGGTTGGACAGCATTTGCTAGCAAACTGTCCACCCATCCTTTTTAGTTTGTTTTGTTCATCATGTAGCATAGGTAGTGGGCTGCATTGCAAAGCACTCAAGCAGTACCAGTGTTGTCCAGAGGCTTCTGAGGACCCCTAGGTCTCTTGGTTTCCTGTAACGTTCGAGCTTTACAGGGCGTATTTGACAGTCTTCGCAAAACATCGTGCACTCACCACTGCGTACAGATGTAGTATGCCATGCCATTGCAAGAAGTCGCGGGTTCGAATCCCGGCTGCGGTGGCTGCATTTCTGATGGAGGCGGAAATGTTGTAGGCCCGTGTGCTCAGATTTGGGTGCACGTTAAAAAACCCCAGGTGGTCGAAATTTCTGGAGCCCTCCACTACGGCGTCTCTCATAATCATATGGTGGTTTTGGGACGTTAAACCTCACATATCAATCAATCAATGCCATTGCAAGGTATTGCTTACAGCTAACATTTTTTTTAAGGCATGTTTCGCCAAAACTTATTCAAATCGACTGCAGATTGACGGCAAAGCTAAATAGATGCACTGTCACGCTCTTCAGACTCTACTTCACTGCAAAACGAGAAATGTATTTTGGGGCAGATCACTTGGGCAAATGCACCTGGCATTGCAGCTGATATGATTAGTGTTTCTCACTCAAACAGTGCTGTTGTTTCTATAAATAGATGATGCATACTTTCTTGGGAAAAACAAGTATGTTTGTCTACAGGATTCAAAAAAATAATGAATCTCCAGCCGCATGCATGCGATTTTCGAGCAATGGCAATGAGTGACAGCAACAGACTTGCTCCATCACGTCGCGACGGCTGCAACCACATGTTGGTGACAAGGTGTCAGTGTTGCTAGATAGAGAACTGTTGGGTGCATACCCACAAATTTCAAAAAGAAGTCTAAAGGTAGGTTGATGATAACATGCCAAATTTATTACTGTCTTGTGTGGCATAAGGAAGCCACAAAAGCATTTCGCGACCTTCTTTTTTCGCAGTCTTTAGTTTAACTGCGACAGGGTGTGCAAAAGTGCACACTAGGACAGCAATAAAGCACTTCAGAGGGCAATTTCATATTGATGCAAGCTACCATCGAACAAGATTTACTGCAAAATATGGTCGCTGTCTCATTCTTTGCGTGAGATGTGATTGTAAAAAAGGAGGTCAGTATTTTTTATACCTTAAAGTATGCATGCATGACAAGCATCGAGAGCGAATTGCAATCGAAGCGAGGACCAGGGGTGCGGCCATGTTGCCAGAAATTGTCACGCTGGCTTCTGGCCGGGAAGCGATGTTTTCTAGTTTTCGAGAAACGCGCAATGTGACAAGCAACGGCAATGGATGGGCCTACGCGACAGCAAGTCCTGTAGCTTGTCGTCGCTCAAAAATCGCAGGCATGTGGTTGGGCCTTTGTAATGTGATACCATATGTGGAACACAATGACAGATAAATTCATGCCCTGCTGGTTGAATTTGTCGAGATTTCAGTTCTGGCTCAGGGTCACGCAAACTATTTGCAGTAAGTTTTACGTACAAAAGAATGAAGAATGCTTTAATTAAACTTCATATAACTTTTTTTTTTGCCCTCAAACAAGCTTCGCAAATTTCATGGACGAAATCTATCGGAAGCCTGTACTTCTCATAATTCCTATGGAGGCTGAAGCGCTGCTGAAGGAAGGCTGCACAGACACTATCATTTGATACCCACTCGAGGCATTATAGCACGAAACTCCATGTTTCCCCTTAAAGTCTTCAAAATTTTCACTGAATGCATTTCTCTCTTCAACAATCTTTGTAACAACACCTAGTCGAGACTTTTCTTCATTTGTAAAAAGCTTTTAACATGATTAATTTATGGTGGTCGCAGGCTACGACATGGAGGGCAAGCGCTGGACCAGGGTGCGTAACAGCACTGCAGAGTTTTGCCGTCCCTCCGAGTCCCTCTCTGCCTACCTTGAGCGCTACTGGACTGCACGCGGAGCCTGCTGACTGCTTCAAAAAGGCCCGCGCAGTTGTCTTTTCTCGCACAACGGACATGTTTCAACATCATCTGAAATCGCCTCATCCTGGCTGCCGCAACTGTTGTGTGTTTATAGCCACTAACAGCAAAACTAGCAAGATTGTGAAAATTTTCTATAAGCACCATAGGTCAAAGGTGCCAGGCCTTGATCCCAAGTGGGCCTAGAACTGATTAATTAGTCTTACGTTTTATGGAACAGTAATAATGAAAGACAGAGTGGAGATAGAATTCCAATAAATTTAGCACTAATGCAGTTCAAATTTTGGTTCTGTTCGACATGCTTCAGTGCTACCGTTTCATTACAAGCTCCGTTGTAACATTTACACTGCGTAACATTACTGGGAAAGTCGTTCGCTTCCTCCTTTCAAGCACATGTTTGTGTGGATGTTGTGAGTGTGGCTATTGTAAAACGCTCTGCTATTTTAAAAACCTACAGTGCTGTTGCTTTTGCACGCGCCATATGGCTCGTAAAATTAGATTGTAGTAATAGAAGTGAGATTCTGATGGTTGTGACAAGTTGAGTTGCCTGATCCAACTACCGCAATCTTGTGCCACGAATGTTGCTTGCTTCATGGTAGCTCGCACATTGCTGCCTTTCTGTTTGCTTTAGAAAAAAACAAAACAAGTAATGGTTTATGACTCTGACAGCAGGTAGGCCACTTTTTAAACTTCTGTTTTACTTGATCTTTTTTCATGTTTTTTTGCATGCAGTAAGCTTACAATGCGAAAGAATGCATTGATTGTGCACTCATAGTTCACAATGTTTGAGAAGCAAGGACTGCTGGGCAAGTTGGTAATTCATGTGTAATGTGTCTTGGTGACTTTTTTTTGTACTTCAATTTTTTGCGCACCTCAGTGAAGATCACAATGCTTGCTGCTTGAAAACATTGCCGATAGCGTAAAGTCATTTAACGCTGCAAGTGCTTAGTATGTGTCATTGCAATTTAGTTTGGGTCACTCCATTTACTTCTAATCATGAGTGCATGTAATGTTCAAAGCATGTCATTTCCCAACATTCGCTCTGGAGTCGCAGAGAAGCGATGGCTTCCAGATTGCATGCACGCGCCACAGACTCATCCAGTGGTATGAGCGTAGGGTGTTTCTGTTATAACACCTCTTCAATTTCATTCATATCAGTTGTGCGTGTGCATAATAAAAGCATCATACGTAACATTTTTCATTTTCATAAGATGTGTTGAGTTGCAACATGTACACCGCAAACTAGTGAAGTAGCTTTTAAAGTAGCTGGTTTTGCCTTAAGACTGATTCTGTATAGTTAAATGGCTTGTTGCAAATTTGAATAATTAAGAACATCTGGCATAGTGGTGGTGGATCTCGTTTTATGTTGGCTCATCACACATGATCAACAATGCTCTGATGACAAATTGGTTCAGCATGTTCACTTCAATGTGTCCATTGGGCAACCACATCCTCTGAACTTGCTACCGTCATTCGAAGAATTGGGACTCTGTGAACACCATTTCTTCGGAAAAGTTGCAACCCGAAAACGCAAGAGAAAGTGTGTGCCCAGTTTCCATTAGGGGGGAACTGCTCAGGAGTAAAGGCTGTGTTGATCTTCCAGCTTTGGTAAAGGAAAAGGTAATCTATGGGCTTCACGTAATGTCTGTATAATAATATAGTGCTTTCAGACAACCATTTCTAACTTGTTAGTAAAAATATTGTTGATAAACTAGTCATTACAACTTCAATAAATGCCTCACTAATGTCCCGTGCAGGCTTTGTAGGTATTGTAAATAAATAAAATAAAATACGAGTACATACAGCATGCTCATGAATGAGATAAATTTACAGTTAAAGCAAGCCTAAGTCTCACTATTCTGCAGTAGTGATAGAAAGGGATAATAATAAAGAACTTGGCAGCACTCCTGAAATGTCATTTTTCATAATAATAATGTTTATTTTTCATCAATGGTTTGATAGACAGCTGCAGGTAAAAGCTGCTCTCCAAAAGAGGCAGCTTGACAAAGGCCTACAGCTACCTTTTAGCACTACAGCAATGGCAAGAAATCGGCAATGTGAAGTCAACAATAGTAACAACACCAAATAGATAAATAAATGAAAAATAAAGATATAAAAATTAAGTCGGAATTCCAAAAATAAACATAGCCACCATAATAATACCATGATCAGTGGTGTAATCCTAAATAAGGTTCTTCCTTTAGCCTTGTCATCAATCACTGACAATTGTCCAACATCTGTCGTTATAGACGTACATGTGTTACATGTTTTCGGGGCAGGATGCTTTTTTGCTGTTTTCAAATTCGTGCCTTCATTGTACTATTTTTTCATGTGGTTGCTGTATACATGTAAAATTTTTTGGGGCAGAATTGTCTGTTTGGGAAAATGAATGATTGTTTTTGCTGCAAAATATCGTAATTACATTTTAAAAATTGGATAAATGTGAATTGTTTGCAAAGGTTACGCTACCCAACCATATCTGATTGTACACGAAAAGAGTTTTAAAACTTGTCATCAGAGAACATTAGGCACTCATTGTGTACCGGTACAGAACATTTTAAAATCGTATTTACCAGTTCTAGTAATCTCTGTGGTGTAATGCACTGTTAAATGAGCTTTATCGTGGTTCGAAGATTCGAGGCTTGCCAACAATGAAATCACTGTCGTAACATTAGGTCACAGGTTCAGTACGAATTTGGTTTCTGAAGGTTAAACAAAATGAACTTTTGATCCAGCATAACCTGTACATCATATCTCCTGTAGTCCAGGGGTGTAGCCTGCAATTTTTTTGGGGTGAGGAGGGGGGTTCCCCCTAAAGATAGTGTAAAGAAGAGGAAGTACTCCGGCGCAGAGGCAGCAGCATCGAGTGAGCAGCAGCGGCAGCAGCATCGAGTGTGCAGCAGCGGCTCGAGCTCGGAAATTGCGGCTGGTGCATCGCCTTCCAAGCCTTCCAAGCACCAACCTTTCTGCTTAATAAATCTCCTTTATAATTGGTGGAGACGTGCCAGGTACCGTCCCTTACACCTTCCCGCTACCATCCTGGAACTCCGTTCTCGACGGCTACCTTCTGCTATGCCGGACGCCGATCAGCAGACGCTTCCATCTCTTCCGGCCACCTGTCCAGGCAGTGTTCCTCAGCGGGAGCCTCCAATCTTCAGTGGAACAGATGACAACGACGTTGAAGAGTGGCTCTCGACTTTCGAACGGGTGAGCGCTTTAAACAGATGGACGGACGCGGACAAGTTGACACGCGTTTCGTTCTATCTCACGGGTGTAGCCAGCCTTTGGCTTAGAAACCACCAGGCAGACGTCCGAACGTGGCCGCAATTTAAAACGTCGATTGTAGCAGTCTTCGATCGACCTGCCGTCCGAAAACTTCGTGCCGAGCAACGTTTACGCACACGCGCACAAGAAACGGGTGAAACCTTTACAAGTTACATCGAGGACGTCGTCGATTTGTGCAGACGCATGAACGCCGAAATGACGGAAGCTGAAAAATGTAAGCACATTCTCAAAGGGATTGACGACGACGCTTTTCAAATGCTCTTGGCGAAAAGCCCGACCACTGTTAACGACGTAATTAGCCTCTGCCAAAGCTACGATGAATTGCGGAAGCAGCGAGCGCTGACAAGACGTCCTCCAGCGCACGATTTGGCATCGCTGTCTAGTGCGATCAGTGGTCATGACCACGCGTCACTAATGGCCGAAATAAAAGCATTTGTCCGCGAAGAAGTTGCACGACAGCTTTCCTTGGTGCCTTTCACACCAGAAGCTACCACAACTTTACCATCGTCTCTACGTGACGTCATTCAAGGAGAGGTCGCCGAGGCCTTACCAGCTGCTCGCGAGCCTAATCTTGTGGCTGCTCCTCTCACCTACGCCGCGGCTGCAGCCATGCCACCTCGCAAGGCGCCTGCGCCTCCGTTCCAGCCTCGCGCGAGCTATCCCCCAGCTCCAGTTCACTGGACCAGCACTAACACCGCCAACCCGTGGCGCACCCTCGATAATCGCCCGATATGTTACACTTGTCGATACCCCGGACACGTCGCAAGGTATTGCCGCCGCCGGGCGCATATCACCAATGAAAACCGCCGTGAGCCTTTCTTCCCGCTTGACTCCAACGCGCGATACGGTTCCTCCAATCCAATGCCAGCCCGCTACCAGGACGACCACCGCCCTCGGCCGGGACGTCTTCGCTCGCCCTCTCCACGCCGCCGCTCGCCTTCTCCTATGCGTCGACGGCCCGCACCTAACGAGGAGGAAAACTAGACGACGCAGTTCCTGAGGCAAGAACTGCGCAAGTTTCGGTTTGCCCGAGTCCTCATTTGTCACCTACCAATGTTATTGATGTATTCGTCGAAAATATCCCTACCGTCGCTCTTGTAGATACCGGTGCAGCTGTTTCGGTAATAGATGCTGGATTTTGCCGCTCAATTCGTAAGGTTACGACGCCTTTCTCCGGATTATCGCTTCGCACAGCCAGTGCTCAACCTGTTCAACCGACCGCAGTATGTACAGCCCGCGTGACAATTCAGGACGTTCTGTATACGATAGAGTTCGTTGTTCTTTCATCATGCTCCCATAATATTATTTTGGGATGGGACTTCTTGTCGCGTCATAACACCGTAATCGACTGTGCTAGGGCTGAGGTCGAATTTTGCTCACTGGTTGACGAAGCGTCCGTCGACACCCAGTTTGCCGCTAAACTTGTCGTTAGCGATGACACCTACATCCCTCCATGCTCTTTTGCGTTCGTGCCAGTTTCATGCAGCGCCATATCCGACGGCACGGTCTTCTTCACACCATCTCCAATATTCGTCGCCCGAAGAGCTCTCCCCCTGCCTTTTGCTGCTCTCGATCTTGTACAAGGGTCAACCACAATGCCAATTTATAATCATGAGTCGTCGTCTTTATCTCTACTTTGTCGCGAGTGCCTTGGCCACGTCGAGACAATCAGTTCTTCCAGAATTATATCAGTCCCCGATGAGGTGCCTTCTACCTCCGTCTGTGAACTGGCTGTCGTCTCAGCGCCTGACTCAACGTCGGCAAACATATTTCAACCATTCATCGCTGCAGATTTGACATCTTCGCAGCGTTCACAACTCCTCACCATTCTTGAGAGCTACCGCCACTCTTTCGACGTTGAACAAACATCTCTCGGCCGTGCCTTAGCAGTAGAACACCACATCGACACTGGGTCCCACTCACCGCTGCGACAACGACCATATCGCGTGTCCGCTACAGAACGCCGCGTCATTGCTGACCAAGTAGACGACATGCTTCGCAGAGGCGTCATTCGACCTTCACAGAGCCCATGGGCGTCTCCGGTGGTTCTCGTCAAAAAGAAAGACGGTTCTATTCGTTTCTGTGTCGATTTCCGGCGATTGAACAAGATCACGCTGAAGGATGTCTATCCACTACCGCGCATTGACGATGCTTTGGACAGTTTGCAGGGTGCCGAGTTCTTTTCCTCGTTAGACTTGCGGTCAGGCTACTGGCAGGTGCCTATGGCGGAGGCCGATCGCCCCAAAACCGCTTTTGTCACGCCAGACGGCTTATATGAATTCACCGTCATGCCCTTCGGACTTTGCAATGCACCTGCAACGTTCGAACGAATGATGGACAACATCCTGCGTGGACTAAAATGGAAGATATGCTTGTGTTACCTCGATGATATCGTGGTCTTCGCCCCTGACTTTGACACACACTTACGTCGCCTTCAGCACGTCCTTACTTGCTTAACTAACGCCGGTTTGCAATTAAATCTCAAAAAATGTCGATTTGCCATGCGTCAACTGAACATTTTGGGCCACGTTGTTTCCAAGGAAGGCATCCTCCCGGATCCCGAGAAATTGCGAGCTGTTACGGCGTTTCCTAAACCTGCCACCATCAAAGAACTTCGAAGTTTCATCGGCTTGTGTTCGTATTTCCGGCGATTCGTCCGAAACTTCGCGTCTATTATATCACCTCTCACGCAACTTCTCAGCAGCTGTAAAGACCTCTTATCGTGGTCCCCTGCCTGCGACGAGGCTTTCAACACCCTGCGACGGCTTCTTACGACGCCACCGATTCTACGCCATTTCGATCCTGAAGCGCCAACTGAAATCCACACCGACGCCAGTGGTGTAGGCCTGGGTGCTGTGCTCGCACAGCGTAAACCGGAACATCAGGAATACGTCGTGGCATACGCTAGTCGCACACTTACCAAGGCTGAGAGCAACTACAGCGTCACAGAAAAGGAGTGCTTGGCCATTGTGTGGGCCCTTGGAAAGTTTCGCCCATATCTATATGGTCGTTCTTTTGACGTCGTGACCGACCACCACGCGCTGTGCTGGCTTTCGACGTTAAAAGACCCATCTGGCCGCCTCGCTCGCTGGGCGTTGAAAATTCAAGATTACGACATACGCGTGGTTTATCGGTCAGGACGGAAGCATGCTGACGCCGACGCCCTTTCCCGTTCCCCCCTGTCCCAGAATGCCACAGCTGACTCCGCTTGCGATTCCACATTGTCATCGCTTGACTTTGACACCATTGCTATCGAACAACGCAATGACCCGTGGACTGCGTCTCTCCTCAATCATCTCTCCGACACATCTGAACTCCCACAGACGCGAACGCTTCGGCGCCAAGTTCCACACTTCTCGATACGTGACACGCTTCTCTATCGACGTAACTACGCACCAGAGGGACGCAAGTGGCTGCTCGTCGTTCCACGAACCCTGAGGTTGCAGATTTGTTCCTCTTTTCACGCTGACCCACAATGTGGCCACGCAGGAGTCTTCCAGACCTACGAAAGGCTTCGACATCGCTACTACTGGCGTGGCATGTATACCTTCGTCCGCAACTTCGTCCGCTCTTGTGCCGAATGTCAGCGCCGAAAATCTCCACCACACGCCTCCGCCGGTGAACTGCAGC